GAGCAGACAACTACATTCGAACTCATTATAAACATTGATGGATTGCTTTTATCCAAAAGTTCCAGTAGTCAAGTTTATCCAATATTATGTAGATTATCAAAAAATAAGATTGTTGATATGATTGGAATATATCATGGTTATGAGAAACCAAAGGAAGCCAACTGTTTTTTGGAAGAATTTGTTAATGATGCTTTTGATGTTATTACAAATGGTATAATTATTAATGGTCAGGAATTTAAAGTAATATTAAAATCATTCATATGTGATGCCCCAGCCAAATCTTTTATAATTTATAACATATACAAAAGGACACACTGGATATTTTTCTTGCACAGAATGTCATATTGAAGGCAGTTATTCTGATGGTAGGGTATGTTTTCCAGAATCAAAAAATCTCCTTTTGAGAACTGACAGTGCATTTAGATCAAAAGTACAAGCGGATCATCATAATGGTACATCTGTCATTGAAAACATTCCAAATTTTGATATGATAGACGGCTTCCCTCTGGATTATATGCACTTAATCTGCCTGGATGTTGTCAAAAAATTATTAATGTCTATATGGTGCTGTGTAAAACCTTCAACTAAAATTGCTTTCAGAAATGTAACTAATAGATCAGATTCATTGATCAATTTTGCTAAATGCATGCCATTAGAATTTAATAAAAAACCAAGGAGTATGACAGAAATAAAACGATGGAAAGCTACAGAATTTCGGCAATTTTTATTCTACACTGGACCTGTTGCATTAAGAAATCAGTTGAATGAAGATAGATATCTAAATTTCCTCACATTACTATGCATACTCTCTTCTCCAATACTTTGTAGAAACATTCAAGATTCTCTATGGACAAGAACACATGTCACACAATATTCATAATTTGGTTCATCTCACAAATGATGTAGAAAAACATGGGACACTTGATGATTTCAGCGTTTTCCCATTTGAGAATTTTCTACAGACCATATTGAAATCTATCAGGAAAAGTGAAAAACCTTTATCACAAATAATAAGAGGAAGGAGTGAGAACAATCAATTAGCTCATAAAACTAAGCTTACTAATATTTCAAAAAAATATCCAATTTTCTCATCTACTCATTCAGAAGGGCCAACTTTGGATTTAAATATCATGAATCAGTTTGAAGAAGTGAACTTTCATAATTTTGTTCTTCAAACTGCTGCCCCAGATAGCTGTTGTGCCCTCAAAAATGGAAATATCTTTGAAATTAAAAATATTGTGTTAGATCAAGATCATTATAAAATAATCGGAAATAAACTTTCAAATATCAGAGATTTGTATGACCAGCCCTGTAAATCATCAGAATTTGATATTTTCATTGCTGATGTAGATCTTGGACCCTTGGAAATATTCAATATTAGTGATGTAGATCATAAATGTGTGAAACTTGAATTTGAAACTAGCTACATAATTTTTCCATAGATTCATACATCAGATTGATTTTTGTTTCATGAAACATTATCTTTGAAACATTTCTCTTATGATTTGAGACACCTTTCAAACATTTTTTGATTCTAACAGGAGTATCTCAGAGTTAATTTCATGATCATGAAACACATGATCTTTGAAACATTTCTCTTAAGATTCTAGACACCTTTCAAAGGTTTCTTGAATCTTAACAAAAATATTTCAAGCAGGCGCGTACCTGAGGGGGGGGTAATGGGGTAATGGGGTAATTACCCCCCCCCATGACCACGATGATGATGAAAAAATTTGAACATTCCTTATTTTCAAACTTAAAAAATGATGATGATGAAGACACAACGATGGGCTTTCACACCTGTCTTCTAGTCTTCAGGCTTCTAGTCACAACATTAAATTATAAATTTCGCAATCAGGGTGGCGCATTATGGAGTTGAGTGTTGAGTGAACTGGGTTTTTATTTGTTATTGTTCGCCGACACAACGACGGCCGAATTCACGAAGCAGGTGCTTATGTAAATACATTATATACTTGAAATGAAATAGTCGGGAATACGCCGAAATAAGTTCGTCGTTCATTGTGTTTTGTTGGCTATGCTAGGGTGCATCATTTCTATCTATTCTTATATGGAATAAAATTTATGAGTGTTATCGTTGTTTAGAACAAGAAGGTGAGATTTTTAACTTTGTAGGTTTGTAGCATTGGGCGCGACATACCGGAACCGAATAATGATTTTAGTAGTGAGTACTGAGTAGGTATAATTACTTTTCAGGATTTCGACACTTTGGTGTACCTGTTGTTATTGTCGATATTCGAAAATGAAGAGGTCCCAAAACACGTTAGATAACTTCATAGTTGTAAAAAAGCAAAAGGAGGAAGAAAAAGAAATTAAAAACGATAACGAAAAGGAATCAGAGGGCGTGGATTATATCAATGATATTATTAATAATCAGCCATCTACAAGTTCAACAGTTTCAAAAACTGGAGATTGTGGTAATCAGTTACGGAACTCCAGCTCCAGAGAAATGGAAATTGAAGAAGGCGAAGTGTGTATGTCTGAAAATGATATGGATGCTGGAAAAGTTCTAGATCACGATATGATTACAGACTTGCAGAAAATGAACATTTTGAAATATGCTATGGTACCAGGCAAAGAATTCATATATCCTTTTTCATTACACACAAAGAAAAACAAGGACGTGAAATGCTATCTGTCCCAGAAACATTTCCAGCTGTTCGAATGGTTAACATTTTCAGTTTCGAAAAAAGGTATATTCTGCAAATACTGCCTGTTATTCGCAAAGTACGGTGGTCAACACAAACAGACCCCTTTAAACAAACTAATTAAAACTCCATTATGCAAATATTCCAAATTACTGGGAAAAGACGGGGATTTGGTCAGTCATCAAGAAAGTAGCTTTCATAAAGAATCAGTAATAAATGCAAGGAATTTCACCAAGAACTACTGTGACGAAAAAAACAAGGTAATTAATATGTTGGACACTGAAAGACGAGAACAAATTATCGAAAATAGGAAGCGTCTCACTTCTATTATTGAGAGCATTATCTTTTTGGGTCGGCAGAATATTCCATTAAGAGGACATAGAGATAGTGGAGCTATTGTGATAAAAAGTTCTGAAACTGAAGATATAGATTTAGATGTAGAATCTTCACCCACTGCAAATGAAGGGAATTTTAGAGAACTTTTACGTTTTCGCGTCGAAAGTGGAGATACCGTACTGAAAGAACATTTGAAAAACTCATCTTCAAAAGCAACGTACATCAGCGCAAAAACTCGAAATGAACTGATCGAATATTGTAAAGAGGAAATTATAACTACTATATTGAAGAGGATTACAGAGTGTAAGTACTACTGTATTATATTTGATGAAACTACAGACGTTAGTCATATCTCACAAATGTCTGTCACACTCAGGTATGTTTCAAAAAATCAAATTTTCGAAGATTTTGTCGGTTTTATAAATTGTCACGCATCTAATTACAATGAACCTTCGATAGAACCAGTTATGACAGGCAAAATTTTAGCACAAACTGTCGTGAAACTAATGAAATATTTGAATTTGAATATGGATCATTGTGTGGGAATTGGTACCGATGGGTGCAATTTAATGTTGGGTGAACAGAAAGGCGCCGTTAAAGAATTGCAACAAGAATTGAAAAATGCTCTGAAGTGCCCATGCAGTAATCACGCCTTGAATTTATCTATTTCGAAGAGTTCAAATGTTCAGTCAATAAGGAATGCTACTGGTATCATGAAAGAAGTCATCACCTTTTTCAATTCATCTTCCAAGAGACACAGTGTTCTATTGCACGTTAATGGAAAGAATTTAAAAAAGTTATGTGATACAAGGTGGGTTGAAAGACATGAATCAATTCAGCGATTTCGAGAAAGTTTTTCAAGTATCATTGAATCCCTTGATTTCATATCAAATTGGAGGGAGAGAGATTCCGCATCTAAAGCTGCTTGTCTGAAATTATCCTTGATTTCCACCAACTTCATTGTAAGTTTATGCTGTTTATCAGATGTATTAGGACTCACAATAAACTTGAGTAAAATTTTGCAGACTAAAACTATAGATAATTTGTATGCTGAGAAGATCATTACGAATGTTTTACAAACATTGCAATATAAAAGAGAGAAAGGTGACGATAATTTCAATAAAATTTACAAAGACATAACGAAGATTCACGAAATGTTAGAGATCGACATTACTATGCCACGGGTGGTAGGTAAACAAACCATGAGAACAAACGTGCAATGTAATAATCCTGAGGATTATTATAGAATCGCTGTCTATTTTCCTGTCCTTGATAGTGTTATAGAGGATTTAAAATTCAGATTCAACAATAAAGCTGTGTTCTATTTTTCAAATGTTGTACCTTCCATCTGCTTGGAACATTCACATGTACAGCTGGAAAACTGTTAAAACAATTTGGTAGCATTTTTGTCCCAAATAACTACAAGTGAATCTGAAACGTCTTTATACCGTAGATTATCATCAGAACTGGAACTATGGATAAATGAATGGAAGAATTGTCATGAAAAACCTCATACTGGAATCGATTCATTATTGAAGTGTGATAAAAATATTTACCCTTCAATTTACACTATTTTACAAATTCAAGTGACATTACCGGTATCTGTCGCTTCGGCAGAACGCAGTTTCTCGACTTTAAGAAGACTGAAAACCTATATTAGATCAACCATGTCGGACACTCGTTTAACAGGACTTGCCTTGCTGAATATACATCGGGATATGAAAATTAATATAAATAATATCATTGACAGATTTAGTGCCTAAAAACAAAGAAATATGGAATTTACAATTTGATACCATTCATTTATCATTTATAGGTAACCTGTTTTTATTATTTTGTCTGTTTTGTTATGTTTATATATTTTTAGTTGTACATTCTCTCATTTTTGAGTTATTGTTTTCGTTTTGAAGAATATTCTGCTAATTTATTTTCAGTTACACATTTACTTATTTTTCAGTTATTATTTTTGTGTTGAATGATATTCTCTTTATTTATTTTTACATTCTTTTATATTCGAGTTATTGTTTTCGTTTCGAAGAATATTTATTCTGTTATTTATTTTTAGTTATACATTTTTTTATTTTTGAGTTATTGTTTTCATTTTGAAATATATTCTGTTTATTTATTTTTACACTCTCTCATATTCGAGCTATTGTTTTAAAGAACATTTTGTTAATTTTTTTTTAAAATTAAATATGAATGCCTTAGTGTTACTGAAGTTTAACTTTTTAAAACGTAGGAAATATTGGTCCTGAAATGGGTGATTACCCCCCCCCCCCCCCCATGAAATTACCCTAGGCACGCGCCTGATTTCAAGAGTGTATTTGTACAACAATGTATAATATGTTGAACATTAATTTTCATTTCTTTTTCGATTTATTGAGAATTTTGTATTTTTGTTAGGTTAGGTTAACATGACTGCTCATTATATTTCTACAGAAACCTATTCAATCCTTCATTTATTTTATGGTATATATAATAAAAAATAAATCTTTTTTTCTTTATTTTTATTTGAGAAAGATGACTGAAGAAAAAACGTGGACAGTAGTTCAATTTGAAGATGAGACAGTGGAAGCCGTGCCAACTGCCGTGTCACTGGCCGTGTCACTGGCCCTCAATGGCTCCTCCCAAGTTGATGATGGCCATACGGAAAAATGAACCACTCAATACATGTTGGCCTACTCATAAGATTAAAGTATTTAGAAATGCGACATCTGGTAAGATGAAATTCATAATTTTTGTGATAGTTCTCTAAAACTAGAAACACAACAATAAAACAAGAAATATTTCATAAAGTAGAAATGTTCATTTTTCTGATACTGAATTTCCATATTCAGTAGATCTGAAAATTAAATTATGATAAATGTATTAATAATTATATCTGTTGAGAATAACTATATCACTGTGAATACAATTCAGAATAGAATAGAATTTATTCATATCGCCACAGCTACCACCATAGGTGCTTCTGTGAGAACAAATGTAATGATTCACATTCACAATATACAGGGTGATTCATTACGAATTGGAAATCTCTCAACTACAGATAGTAAACACTAAAATATTGAGATTTAGCCTAACATGCCTGATAAGAATGTTGCTGACATGAACATGAATTTGTGTATTCCTCATGTCAGAAAATATGTAACTACAAAATTCCATGTTCATGTTGTTGAAACTTACAAAGTTATTAAGAAAATTTAAAATAAAATCTCCCCTTAGAACATTCTTTATCTCCTTAACCAGCAACATTTTTATCAGGCATGTTAGGCTAAATCTCAATATCTTGGTGTGTACTAAATGTAGTTCAGTGATTTCCCATTCTTATAGTGATTCACCCTGTACATATACATTTTTTCTAAAGATTGAATATGAATAAAGCAACATTCATTTCTTAATCTGCAATATTATACAATTTTTTCAGGTGATTACATGAAATCCAGAGATAAAGCAAAAGATGCTGAACAAACAGGCGATCTAGCATCTGAAATGGAAACCGAGAATAGAAGGAAAAGGATTCAGAAAGTATTATCTTCTAGTGGGAGTTCATCAGAAGAATCCATTCTACCTTCCCCCCCCCCCAAACGATGTAATATTTTTGAAACTGTTAGTACATCTCGAATTATATTTGAAGGAAAAAACGTGAATTCCGACGATGAAATTTCAAACGCATTCAATTCATTTTTTATCAATAGCATAAATAATATTGTTGAAAACATCACCCCAGTAAACGATTTCGATGATACAATAAGAAAGATTCCTGAATTTGTAATCAAATTTCTTTCATTTGAAAACATCTCTATGCAGGAATTAAAAAATATTGTTTCATCGTTGAAAAAGAACTCGTGTGACAAAGATGGAATCAATCATACCATAATCAAACTAGCTTTCGACATCATTGGGAATAGATTTCTTGATACAATAAATTCATCTTTGAATACTGGGGGTTTTCCTGATTTATGGAAAATATCTACAGTGATTCCGATTCCAAAAGTACCTAATACACACTTTGCAGCTGATCATCGCCCAATCAATACATTACCAATAATTGAAAAATTGTTGGAGCTTGCCGTCAAAGATCAACTCCTTGAATTTATCAGTTCAAATGGAATACTTATCGAACAACAATCAGGTTTTAGAAAATGTCACTCGTGTGAAACGGCTCTTCAGTTTTTGATATCCAAATGGAAAGTTGATATTCATGATAAGAACATCATCGGGGTGGTTTTCTTGGACTTACAGAGGGCATTTGAAACTATAAATAGAGATTTACTTTTGAAGAAATTGAACAAATATGAAATAGGCGGAAAGGTTTTCGAATGGTTTCAGAGCTATCTACAAAATAGAGAACAACTTGTTAAATACAATAACACTTACTCAAATAGGAAAGAAGTCATGCATGGAGTACCACAAGGATCGGTACTGGGACCAATATTATTCATTTTATTCATTAATGACATTATACATCACGTCCAGAATTGTAAGCTGAAATTATTTGCGGATGATACCTTGCTTTACTTCTCTGGCAAGAAAGAGGATGTGGAGAAATTCTTGAATGAAGATCATGAGAATATATTCACCTGGATCTGTGACAATGGACTCAAAATTACTGTTACAAAGACGAAATTCATGATTATATCTTCGAAAGCAAATTCAAAATTGATCCAGGAAAATAAAATAAAATTAAATATTCTGATAAACGGAGAAATCATTGAAGAAGTGAAAATGTTCAAGTATTTGGGAGTGATCATTGATAATAAACTGAATTTTAACAGCCATTGTGAATACATTAAAAAAAAATTGCGCGAAAAATAGGTTTCATGTACAGGCTTGGTGATATAGTATCTCATTTCACGAAATTAACAATTTACAAGTCAATAATTTCACCTCATATTGATTATTGTGGTACTTTACTGAGTTTCTTGAGCAACGAACAGATTAATACACTGCAAAAAGTCCAAAATCGTGCAATGAGAGCTATCTTGGGTTGTAGAAGACGCACACCAGTCACAACAATGCTGAACACATTGCAATTAATGAATATCAAGCAAAGGGTTTCATATAATAGGTACACTCATTTTTTTTTATAAATTGCAAAATAACATGTTGCCTTCGTATTCATCGTATCGTATTATGTTCAAGATGTACATTGTCACAATACCAGAAGACAAGCAGCGAACGATTTCTATATAAATTCAGTAAATATTGTCTGTGATACTTTATATACAAAAGGTCTGGTATTGTTCAATAATTTGCCCTGTGAAATAAAAAGATGTGTGTCACTAGATAGTTTTAAAGAATCGTGTGTGTTATTTGCGAAAGAAAATTATTGATTGATCAATTGAGAAAGGAGAAATCTGTTAATTACCCTTATATTAAAATATGTGTCTTTAAGTTCTATATTTCTATGTTCTTATTTTTTGACTTATTGTATTTTATTGTTGATTTAACTGTATATGAAGAGCACTGTGCTAATGAAGTTTGATATATATCTTTACTAATTCAAGGTATTTTGCAGGCATGGTGAAAAAAGTGGATGTTTCTGGCAATGGTGGGCAAATATCATTTTCAATATGATTAGAATATAACTAGTCAGATATTCATTGAATACTGCTGTCAGTAGGTTAGGTTGGAATAATATTTCACATTTTTCATGTTGACAATGGAAGCAGATTCGTTCCCAAAATGTCCAAAGATAAGTAAAAAAATCCATATTTTCTTCAATATATCTATATTTCTTTTCTTCAAACATTTTTGAAACAAAGTGTCACTGACAAGCTATTGGATTTTTCTTTCAGGCTCTCTGAATAGAATTTTTTTTTAAACGCAGTGACATTTTGGGACAAATCATTTGATATGAAACACCCACCTGTATTATGCATGTTCCACATTTGATTGAATGATGTCATTTGATTTGATTGAAAATCGTTTTTGTAGATGCAGCAGAAAAGGCCCACAAGGCAAAAGATCAGAAAGAAACTGAGAATTCACTACAATCCTGGCTCAAGCGAGCCAGAGAGCGCCGCCAGCAGTCCAGCTCAAAAAAATTTTGAACTGTAACCTTTTTTTTGTGTTTATACTTCTTTTTGTATATACACCCACAAATAAATGTATAATATGTACGTGTCTCATTTTGTAGAAAAGTTGATATAAATACGTCCATTATTGGTTCCAAAAAGGTCCTAATCTGGACCTAAAATGGACGTCCCCAAAGCATCCTGATTATTCACAATGGACGTCCCCAAAACGTCCATAAGACGTCTGTCGTCCGGAAATGGACGTCCCCAAAACGTCCTGAATGTCCAGAGTGGACGTTTTAAAACGTCCATAAGACGTATTTGTGCTGATTGGGATATATTGTGCACATCAATTTTCATTTTTTCAGGAAATAAGATAAGATAAGAATTAGAATAAAATAAAATAAGGAATAAGGATATTGGTGTACCGTTTATACAGATAAATAAAATAAAATAAGAAATAAGAATAAACCAATCATTGCGCATTATTTTGACAATGACTTATGTCAATTTTTCAATGTCAATTCAACTTCTATTGGGAGTTAGAATTTGTTTTTTTTGTGCAGACCGGTGAACGGCGAAGATATCTTGTAATTTTGTAACAAATAATTATTCAAAAATTTTTCACCATGGATGATGGAATACTCATCGATCAAGTGGCATCATTTCCACATTTATACGCAAAATCAGATCCGCGATACAAGAATTTGAGAATGAGGGAAAACGCCTGGAAAACCATTTCAGCTATCCTAGAGGATACAACACGTAAGATTTATCATGAAATTGATGAACATCATTCTCATTTTATCAATATTTTGTAGCTGAAGAATGTGAGCATCGGTGGAAAATTTTGCGCAATAAATATACAGGCCTGCGAAGAGAGGAAAAATGTAGGCCCTCTGGTTCCGGGGCCAGTGAAATTACTTGGCCTTATTATAAATCCATGAGTTTTCTGGACCCCTATCTACAGACCAGGAAGTATGTCTATTATCAATGAAAACAAGTTTGATATTTGATAACCTTCATTTTCAGGTCATTTTCAAACTTATCCGTGAAAAAGAATCCTGAAGTCAGACAGTGGGATTCACTGAATACAATCATGGGGGAAGACCGAGAGGAAGACACACAGACAGAAAATATTCTACCATCTATTGATTGAAGAAAGTCCCATCATTTGGGGAGGATCTCATAAGAGAATCGCTCCTTCTTCTTATGGTAAAAAGACCATGCCCCTTTCAGGGAAAGATAACATCAATACATCCCTTGAGAACATCAATGATGAAAATGAGGGACATACCTGCTCCAAAATGTCGAAAGTACAGCCTGAGAAGAGGAACCCAGTCATCCCTAGGAGTACCATGCCAACCAAAAAAAGCAATAATGATAAGTTGGCAGAAAAAATTACTGAATGTTTTGAAACATACCAGAAGGTCCTTGAAGGTAGTAATATACAGGTGGATCAAGCAGGCATAGAAGATGAACAGTTTGTGAGAAGCTTGGTTTCTGATCTGAGCATATTTTCTCGGAAACAAAAAAAATTTATCAAGAAGGAAATATACACTATTTTAGTGAACCACATCACAGAGGATTCTGATTGATGGAACTTTTTTGTTGTATAATGATGAAGCTATTATAATTTATTTTCTCTTGTTTTTTTAGTGTATTGAGATTTTATTTTTGTTATATTTTTAAGGTTTTTTTGTTTTTTGTGATAATTCACTAGGTATCTATAATCAAGTGATGTGTTTGTTCCTTCATGTGATAATTCCTTGATTTTTGCTTTGAAATATATTCTGAGGTCATTTCATTTTTGTTGTGATAATTAGATTAGATAATCAATTTTCTACAAATGTGGAATTTACTTCCACAGGTTATCATATGTTTTTGTTCCTTCATTATGGTTTAATTCATAGATTTTTGTTTTTTTTTAAATATTTTATTATTTTTATGGTTATAATTAGATAAGATAATTTACACTCCCTTTCTATAAATGTGGGATTGTGTTTTAACTAATGAGGTCAAAAGATTAGTGAGTGTGGCATCACCCACCAGGCGAATGGCTCTTCTCTGGATAGAATCTAACAGTATTCTAAAACTGCCACATGTTAAATAAAACCAATAAGAGAGGAAAAAATATAAAAATTATAAATTTTATCAAATGCATCTACAAAAAATGCTCAACTTGAGTTGACATAAAGTGTGATCAAGAAAATTCATCTGGAACACTTCCCTTATAAAGTTTTTTCCACTGATTTGGGAGTGCCCCCTCATTGGAGATTAAATATTCTGCTAGTGTATTTCTCAAACCAATGTTGCTTCTAGATGGATTGTTAGATGATACACGCCCAACAGATTTCAGGTGTTCCTCAACATTCTCTGTTGTATTTGCCAGCAAGCCTGTGGAACAGTACCTCGATCCTCTGGTCTACGGGAATGTATTCCTCACTCTTCTGGATGTAGTTATGGAGAATGACACAAGCCATCACTATCTGGTCACATAAGTCCACATCAGCAATAATAGGGCTTCTCAAGCGACGCCACCTCTGGACCAAGATACCGAAAGTAATTTCAATTACTATCCTTGCTCTAGAAAGGCGTAGATTGAAAATCCCCTTTTCCTCATCTAGATACCTTCCTGAATTGGGCCTCATGATATTTTTGTGTAGTGGAAAGGACTCATCAGCCACAAAAAAGTAAGGAAATACTATATTGGTTCCAGGTAGAGTTTTCGGTGAAGGAATATCCATACGGTTGTTCTGCCTATGTAATGATTCCAAGCAATTTCCTGCATAGAGCATCCTTCAGCTAGATAGGTACAAAATGCTGTCATTAGACTAATGTATTTCAGAACAAAAGTAATGAATTAATCTTAAATCTGAATCAATTCAGAGATGATTATCTGTATAAAGTCATCACACTTACTGTAAAGTGATTGCAAGTCGATGGCCTGGTTCCAGGGGAAGTTTGCTAGGGTTTCTAGTTAAATATGGCTTTAGCAAACATTCTGGTATACTTGAAAAACTGCTCATGATCATGAGATTTTGCATACATGAGTAGTTTTTGGTATACACTATTCTTCCTGTTCACCTGGTTCATGGGGCGCACTTCAAATCTCCTTTTCGACCTCATCTTTTTTCTTAACATCAGGACGGCCGCGAATGATAAGAGGAGGAACATTCCTACCATGATGATATTATCCACTTCATCAAACATTTTATTGTTTTGAATGCTTCAATTTGAAATACAATGTACAACCATCAGCGTACAAAACAAAACACAGAATTTGAGGTACAGCTCGGGTATTTTTCCATCATGCTGAAAGACAGCTAGAGTACAACCAATCCCCAAAAAAGGGAACAAGAACCTGCCCAACAACTACAGGCCCATTGCCCTGTTATCAGTAATCTCCAAAGTGATGGAGAAAGCCATCAACATTGAGCTTATCAAATATCTGGAGAGCTCAGGAATCATCAATGATAGACAATACGGCTTTCGTCACCAAAGATCTACTAGAGATCTACTTGCCTACGTCACCCATTTATGGCAAGCTTCATTAGAAAAACACGGGGAATCTCTAGCTGTCGCGTTGGACATATCGAAAGCATTCGACCGTGTTTGGCACGAAGGACTCCTCCACAAACTACCATCATACGGCTTACCACCTCAGTTATGCCACCTCTTATCGAGTTTTCTTGCACGATGTTCCCTGAACATTATATGAAAAAAAATGATACCATTGGCATCAATTTCGGCGTTCCACAAGGATCAATTTTGGCACCAACATTATTCCTTCTTCATATCAATGATCTGTTGGGAGTAACAACTTGCCCCATCAACAGCTTTGCATATGATAGTACCCTCCATACTGCGTTCTCTTCCAGAATTCCCTTTCCTTCCCAGGAAACTAAGAACTCACGGCGCAGGAAGGTCGATGCGGTCAATGAAGACCTTGCTGAAATCACAGCCTGGGGAACCAACAACCTAGTTGAATTCAACGCCACCAAAACTCAAGCCTGTATTTTCTCTAAAAAGGCGGAACTCAGTATGCTCGACATTGTAATGTCTGGCACCACTATCTCCACCAAGCCCACCATATCTATGCTCGGTATTTCCATCAGCAACACTCTTTCATGGGATAATCATGTCAGATCCATCGCAGAAGCTGCTTCACAAAAACTCGGATTCTTGTTCCGTGCGAAAAGCTACTTTACACCTCAACAGCTTCTCATGATCTACAAAGCGCAGATACGGCCTGTTCTAGAATACTGTTCCCACATATGGGGTTCAGCACCAAAACATACGCTGATGCTCTCAGATTCCATCCAGAGAAGAGCCATCCGCCTGGTGGGTGAAGCAACACTCACTCACTCTTTGACATCATGGGAACACCGTAGAAAGGTCGGCGACGTTTCACTTTTCTATCGATACTTCCACGGGAAATGTGCTTCGGAAATCTCTGCTATCATCCCTTCACTAGCAATACCAGTCAGACGAACTAGACAAGCCCAGTCAGCACATCCTTTCGTTGTCAACCTCGAAAGAACAGCACTTTACCAAAACTCCTTCATCCATAGAACGGCTAGGCTCTAGAATTCATCGCCTGCGGAAGTATTCCCAACAACATATAATCTCCAGAAGTTCAAAAAAAATTCCAATACCTACCTCCCATCCCTATCCTCCCTAGGAACGCACGATGTTCTTTGAACATTATAGGGATTCCCTTTCGTGCGCTCCAAACGTAAAAAAAAATGACAAGTGTCATTTTTGAATGGGCGTGTCCGATTAAAATTGCACATGCGCACATCGATTTTCGAATAGAATAAAATAAAAAGTTAAAAGTTGGTCAACTCTCATTTTATTCCTTATTTCTCATTTCATCTTAGTTCATGTATAAACGTTTCTTTATTAATATGCTTCATTATGATATATTACATTTTATGTTACACAAGTCTCTCTTATGTCTCCTGTAATATGTCTAATGCCAGGATTGCCAACCGTCATGTTAACAGTCATAACACTGTGGCCAACCTGTCTAAAGGTGTGACAATAAAAATAGACAACAGGGTATTTTCATTATCAAAATAAACCATTTTTCTTTATTTCCAAGCATTTCTCTTCATAATATGAATGTGATCTTATAGAAGCATATATTTTTACAGTTATTCATAGGCAGGCATTTACATGGATCGAAATTACCTATTAAAATGAATGAAAATCGAAATGTATGTATATACAGTGTGTCCCACTTACCATGCTCACCATGGGTATTTTTTCAACGGTGAGAGATACGAGGTCGGTTAAATGACACCAAATGTGGAGTTTGTCAAGGCCAACTATAATGTGAAAAAATATTTCGATAAAATCTATTCGTTTTTGTTTTATACGCAAAAAACAGATTTTGATCATTTTCATGTCTCCTCCGTAACTTCTTCATTTATGAAACAATTCAAATAGGAATTTCACATTCTCACGGCAGTTTTTCAAAGTGATTTCGGAAAAAATATGAAAATACCAACTCTTCTAGAATTTGAGATATCGACACCAACTTCAGTTTTTCAAATGTAGGTCATAGCTCACTATGATATATTACGCTTACGCTGGGAAGATGCCCAACCTTATGGAGCAAAACGAGGTCCAAAAAAATCTCACAACTAGATGGCGTACCATAGTTCGAAATCTCACATAGTGGCGGCGATAGTGTCGAACGATGTCGGAGCAATACTTCGTAATTTGACTGGCAGGTGCGCCACTTACGAAGAGAATCTATTGGAATGCAGATGGCATGCGACTTGGAACAATTAAACAATCCATAACCCAGAACGCACCAACTTTAGTTTTTCAACTGTAGGTCATAGTTCACTATGACTTAGTTACGAATAACTTTTTTTTCTCTTACAGATGATATGCCGCAGTGATAGTTTTGTGTTGATAACAACGGAGTTAGCGTCATTTATACAAAAACAAAAAATTATTCGGAAGCCGCCATCTTGAATTCATGAATTTTAACAAAAAAATCATAATCTCCGACCTCGAAAACCCCCACTTACCAATTTTGAATGAAATCCGACCAAATTTTGTCCGCCATCTTGGAGCAGCCATTTTTTTTAATTTCAACAAAAAACCCATAATGTATTGTCACTGAAATTATGAACACCTGCC